TCGGATGAGTTCTTCGTTGTTTTTATTTCACTCCCTCTACAGACAATGAATTGTACATATGGGGACTTGTTAGGATTTTCATAGAGACAATGAGGTATTATGGTGAATGTAGTTTAGAAAGGTAAGTAAGAATGTGTTGTTTTGGTGTTAGGAATATTGTTCGTATGTTTGGGTCAGTGTTTGTGGCTGGCTAAGTTTAATATTAAGACAGAACAAGACCGTCCTTTTCCTCATTCCCCATTTTTGGCCTTGTGTCACATTTTCTGTAGTTAACGCGGAAATAAATATCGTTGTTTTCCAGCGTACATAGAATTTAAGCGACGAGGTATCACCAATTTACGCTTGAGTTGACTAAGTAAGTCCTATGCTAACAGTTTTTTTTTGTTTTTGCATTTCTTGATTGTGGAACTCTCTTACGGCTCCATGCTTTCCAGCCAACTTTAATCATCAAAAATTTAAATATAATGTCAATTGCTTTCTGCTATTCTCCTGATTACCCTTCTTTTGTTCTTGCTCCCTAGTAAAGTTTCTATTTTGTCTATATTTCTGAGATGGGGTATTATGTACACTATTTACATTATTCCGACTATTGTCCTCATCTTTGTTGCCATATTTATAACAACGTTTCGGCCGTTCTACGCTCTGGCCTTCTTCAAGTGGTTGGAATGTCGAACAGAACCCTTTATTTCGCTCGCTGTGCCAGGCGTTGGTTAGATCCAGTGGCAGGACCCAACGAGTTCTGAGTTCAATACCTGGTTAAGGCAGTGGGGGACTTTCAGAGGGAAATTAACAGGAGATAACTGATAAGTGACATCCATTAGACATGGCACGTGGAACTAGAACAGTCTATCCCAGCGAGCGAAATTAAGGGTTCAGTTCGATATTCCAACCACCTGCAGAAGGCCGCAGCGTACAACGACCGAAACGTTGTGGTAAATACGGAAACAGAGATGAGGACAATAGTCCGAATCATGTAAATATAGTTTTCTAATTCTTCTACACCCAGTAACCTGTGTCTTTGTGGCTTTATTGCCTTGCTTAGGGTGAAATCGATTAAGAAAAAAAAATGAGGACGTAGTTAAAAGCATTTTGATTCTTGTTCCGCATTTCGTCTTTTATGCCGAGCGAGTATCTTGTAACTTGATCGCATTATTCGAGGTTATAATATCGCCCCCTCTCCATATCTAGTCGATCGACAAGACTCTCAAGCACTATAATACATTTCCGACGGAAGACCAAATTCATTTTCTTCCTTGTAATAAAGAAGATTTTCATCCTTCCAAGACCTGGCTTGATTTAATCAATGTAAAAATCTTTAATACATGCTTGTATTGTAATCAGGTTCTCATAGAATAAAGACGAGAGAAGACGAAGAATATTTGAACAGCGAACAATTCCAGAAATCTTTGGCCAAGAAGACCACAATCATTCGCTAATGAATCTCCTAATATAAAATCCGGACATTTCCGTATTCGTTCACCGTCTTTGAGAAGGTAAGGTCATCGTGTGGACGTTCTTTGCAATATAAGGAATGGGAAGTTGATTATTGTAGAGAACGCCATTAATAGAGATTCAAGGAACTTATGAAGGTTTATGATTAGAAAGATTGCTTTATTTCCTCTCGGATATTCCATTCTTTCATTTACTGTTCATATTTCTTAGGTTAATTTTTTTTTTTTCAAAATTATTTCACTCCAAGCAAGGCAATAAAGCGACTAAGACGCAAAGTGTGTATGTGTGTGTTTGGGGAGTGCCAATTGGGAAAGAATACGAGAAAAATAAAAAATAAAAACATTATCATTAAAATAACAGGAATTAAGACAGAAGATAAAGATTGACATTGCATTTAAATTTTTGAAGTTGCCTGGAAAGACAAACCAGAAGAGCGAGGGAAGAAACTGTCTACATAGAACTTACGGCCATATTTCGCCGTTTTAACTGTAAAATGATATGACCTTGATCCCAGACTCGTTCCTCTTTTATCTGCCGTGTTCTTGCAGGATCTTGTCAATCATACTTCCCTAATTCAAATAAATAAATAAATAAATAAAATAAAAAAATAAATAAAATCCCTCTCCTTTATAACTTAATAAATTTTGTCTTTTTATCTTTCCTAAAACCTGCCCCGCCATCCATTCATTCAAACTCTCCAGGTAGGTTATGTGTTGTTTTCCTCTGTCTCCCTTGCTTTCAATCTGCCTTGTGAATATCAAAATTTCCAAGCCCCTTTTCCTCATTAGGCGCCGTTGAAATGCCAACCGTCTCATTCCGATTCTAAGTATAAGTGTCGCTTTTGTTTCCATTTTATCTAAAAATTCGTCGCTGTTCACATATTCGGTCTATGGTATTCTCAGCATCCTTCTGTAGCGCCGCATTCCTGTTGCTTCAAGACACTTCTTCATCTATGAGGAGATTGTCCAGAATTCACTGGCATATAGGTGGACTAATATTACATCACAGTTCAGTACTCTTTTCTTTGTACGAATTTTTCTGCTTCGTAATACTTTGCTTAGCTTTTGGAAGGCATTTTTGCACCTGCGTATTTCAGTGTCGCACTTTCCGTTTTCTGGTAAAACACTTCCCAGATATTTAAGTGGTTGCACTTTTTTGATTTTGGTATCTCCTATTTGTAATTTTCATGTTGGGCTGTTCCCTCTTGCTAGAAACCACCCACTTTGTCTTCTTGTCATTGATGTTTATTCCTTTCTTGGTTTCCTTCCGAAGGAATTCTTGTACATTCCTTTATGTGCCCGCTATCAACACTGTGTTATCTTCATATCTACAGTTATTAAGATTGTGGCCGCCAATAATAAATCCTGGTAGGACTTCTAATTCTCTCAGAATCGCCTCACTGTGTAGGTTGAATAAGTCCGGTGAGAAGACACATCCTTGCCTTATGCTCTTTTCTATTTTTGTATGTTTTCTGAATTAAAAATATCTGGTGATAAGAAAGCCCAGAGACAGTGCAACTTATTGACCTGAAGGCAACTATGGAGACTAATGTAGCAACAAAACTGACTCGGTCCAGTGGTTGTGACCATGATCGCTAAACATAATTTGGAGTCACATCATCACATATAATATCTTAGCAATGGCACAGAAATAAGTTAACGAAATGGAAGAGGAAAAGACATTGAAGGAAATAGACAATAGTAAGAGCGTATTGCTTAGAAGAATAAGAAATAAGGAAGAAAGGCTTGGTTGTTTTGTTTAACGGCATACCAACACCTCTGTGGCGCCTCGGCGTGGTGTAATGGTTAACAAGCTGGTCTTACTAAAACTGTTACAACTGAATTGTGAGTTCGTTCCTCACTGGGTGCCCTATACTTTCAGACATGTGCCACATCTAAGCCTCGCTTAGAAAATCAATACCAACACCTCTATGGGTTATTTAATGCCGAAATCTAAATATGAAAATTCAAACTTTATAATGAATTCAACAGAATGACATTAATTTTATGATTAAATTATAATTACTTAGCTGTTTTTTTTAATCAAATAATCTTGCAAAATCGAAGAAGGAATCAAAACTTGTTTCTCCTTCCAAGAAAAGAGATTAATCATAGCAGATTGTTTCTTTTAAATTTTTTTTATTGACAATGTAAGCCATGTCTTCATGTACTGCCATTTTGTTATAAAAATGTATTGTTGATCATTTTACTATAAAAATGTATTATTGATAATTTTACTATGAAAATATATTGTTGGTCATGCAAAAAAGGTATTATTGGTGATCTCTATCTAGAAAAGGCAGGGTGTATGTGTGTGTAACGAATGAACGGCCGCAATTTTCGACGGATTTGCACCGAAATTTACATACACATGCTCCAAGTTAGTGGGAAGGCCAAGACCGACTTCGCATTTCCCAACTCCCATCGATAGTGGAAATAATCGAATCTTTCACGCTTCTACGGCAGTTTTCCTGTAGTTTGCGGCCATTTTGTACTGGCCAGAATGAGACCCTATAGCTGGCTGCCACGCATAGGCAGGAAGATTCTATTGGCCAGCGTGAGAGCCAACAGCTGACTGACAAGAAAGTTAACTAGCATGCTAGCATGTAAAAAAATCGATAGCTGCATTCGTCACAAGTGGGAAAAATTTAAATCTGCATGGCACTGCCAATTGGCTCATTCGCTTGCTTAAACTCAACGTTGATTCTGATTCCGCAGAACTGCGTTGGGTGTGAAAAAGGATTTGTTGTTAACATTCTTTTTTCATTCAGTTTTTCCAGTTACGAGTCCTTTTTTAAAGCTGATCGTTTTGTGTTCATTTTGTTTAGTTCTTTTTTCGTAACAGATTTAATGTTTAGTATAGAGCTTCGAAAAAATTCACAATGTGAGATAGGCAAGAGTTAAGGCATGTAGCAACATCAGCACGGCAAAGGGCACTCCTTTAAAGACTAGGAAGGACAAAAATATTTTAAGTCAAGTGATAGCGATTGCTGTATGAGTCGTACGATTTTTGAATCAAGCCTGGGCAACACCGGGCCATGCTCCTAGTTTTACTATAAAAAATGCATTGTTGGTAATTTTACTATAAAAATGCATTGTTGGTCATTTTGCTTTAAAATATATTGTTGATAATTTTGCTATAAAAAATGTAAAAATGAACCAGCAATTAAGAGGTGCTTCCCTCCTCCTGAAAACCCCAAATCAGATCAGAGTTCTTGCTGCCGGATACAATAGAGGCGGAAGTGAGCGAATCAAGAAAGAAAGACAAAGAAAGACAGATTAATGTTGGGAAGTTTGGAATTATAAGAAAAACATGAGTGATATTTATAAATGAAGAAGAATTAATGGTGGCGACGAAAATAACAAGCGATTGCAATAAGCAAGTTGTATAAAATGAAATTAAGTGAGCATGTTGTATAAAAATGCAGGGAATGCTGGGAGAAGACCCAATTGAATATAGTTCCAATCTCCAATCATAAAAAAAAGAAAATCTTTCGCAAGATAAAAACCGGTGCAGGGTCAAAGGAACAAACGTTTTAATAATGCAAATCAACGAAAAGCACGCGTAGCCAAAAGCAAATGAAAAGTGTTGATGAGAGAGAAAGGCAGAGAGGGTGGGAGAGAAGAGAGATAGGGAGACAAAGGTAAACATAAAAGAAGAAGAAGAAGAAGAGAGAGAGAGAGAAGGAAAAGGTTGTAAAAGAAGTGAGACATGAAAAAGAGAAGAAAGGTGACAAATAAGGAGAAAGAAATTAATGGTGAAAGCGAGAGAAAAAAGTAAACGAAGGGAGACGAAGCACGAGGCAGAGAAATAGAGAAAGAGAGAAAGAAGAGAGAACAAAAAGAAAAGAATGATAAAGAAAAAGGAGAGAAAGAAGAGACAAAAGAAATGTGGAAAAGAAGAGAAAAAGAAAAGAAAAGAAAAAGGAGAACAAAGTGGGAGAAAAAGAGAGAGAGAGAGAGAGAGAGAGAGAGAGAGAAATAAAAAAAATCGAAGAAAGTTAATGAGAGAGAAAGGCAAGACGGGAAAAGTAAGTGGAAAAGAGAAGGAAGATAGATAGATAGATAGATAGATAGATAGAAGAGCAGAGAAGAGACGAGACAAATGAAGAGAAAGAAAATAAATGGTGAAAGTGAGAGAAAAGAGTAAACGGAGAGAAAACGAAGAATATGGCGGAGAGAAAGAGAGAGAGAGAGAGGAGAGAACAACAAGAAAGAAATGATAAGGAAGAAAAAAGAGAGAAAGGAAATGTAGAAAAGAAGAGAAAAGAAAAGAAAAAAGGGAGAACAAGGTTGGAGAAAAGAATAGAGAGAGAGAGAGAGAGAGAGAGAGAGAGAGAGAGAGAGAGAGAGAGAGAAATAAAAAGTGGAAGAAAGTGAATGCGACATAAAAACAGGACGGGAAAAGAAAGTGAAGATAGATAGACTGACATAGATAGATAGATAGATAGATAGATAGATAGATAGATAGATAGATAGATAAGAACAGACTGAGATAGATATGAAATGAACAGATTGAAATAGATAGATAGATAGATAAGAACAGACTGAAATAGATATGAAATGAACAGATTGAAATAGATAGATAGATAGATAGATAGATAGATAGATAGATAGATAGATAGATAGATAGATAGGCAGACTGACATAGATAGACTGACATAGAGAGATAGGCTGACATAGACTGACATAGATAGATAGGCAGACTGACATAGATAGATAGATAGATAGATAGATAGATAGATAGACTGACATAGATAGACTGACATAGAGAGATAGGCTGACATAGACTGACATAGTTAGATAGATAGGCAGACTGACATAGATAGATAGATAGATAGATAGATAGATAGATAGATAGATAAGAACATACTGAGATAGATATGAAATGAACAGATTGAGATAGATAGATAGATAGATAGATAGATAGATAGATAGATAGATTTGCTCTCTCACAGATGCGCCGTCGCCTCTCTCTATCTTTTTTGCAAATACTTTCGAGGAGCTGCATTCGCTGGTTTCCAGACTTCATGAATTCAAGCGCCCTACGAGGCTGGCATCCCGCTCTCACCCTTACACTGTAGAAACTCCTAAATGTAGCCGTCTCTTCTACTCCAATAGTTTCATGTCTCGCACCTCTCGCCTGTGGAACAACCTTCCCAATTACTGTTTCCCTGAGAGCTATAATCTCCAACTATTCAAATGTAATGTCAATCGACATTTCCAGTTACCTTGATCTACCCACTATCCTTCTCCTCATCCTTTCTTCTATCACTCCTATCTGCTCTCGCTCCAAATCTTCTACACCCCCCTGCATCCGAGTGGCTTCCCGCCTTGCTCGGGACGTAATGCTTAAAAAAAAAAAAAGAAAAAAAAAAGATAGATAGATAGAAGAGAAAAGACATAGAAAACATGGAGAAAGACGTTGATGTTGAGAGAGATAAATTGCAGGTCGGTGTTGCTGAGCTTAAAGAATAAGACGAATGAAACATCTAAAGGAAACGAGTAAAAAATTGTGTTCTGTACAAGGCCCGAGGGTCACTCAAGGTAGACAGTTACGAAGTAAGAAACACAATTTATGCGAATATGTGTGAAGGATAACTGTTAACACTAGACACGTTTGGAAGAATTCAGACATCATGGCAATTTTTTACAGTGATGTTCACTCTATACAAGGCCCAAGAGCCACTCGAGACGGTTACAGAGTAAAAGGCACAGTTTATCCGGGTATGTGGGGAAGATAACGGTTGATCCTAGACTTTAAGGTTAAGATTGCTAAGATCGGAAAGCATCCTCTTGGGAGTCGGTTTCGCAGGTCTTCCGTCGGAAGTAGATGCTCGAGTGGAACTTACACTTCACCCGAGGGATACGAAGGGAATGAGGGTAATTTTTTTTACAATGTTCGTGGAATAGCGACTCTATCTGTCAGTCTGCCTATCTATTTATCTATGTCAGTCAGTCTATCTATCTATCTATCTATCGTCTCTTCTCTATTTTCTGTTCCCGCCCTGTCTTTCTTCATCTGCTGGAATGAACGAGTGTAGTTCGTCCTGTCTTGTCATGGAAATAGCGATAGAGTATCGAGAAGTTTCCTTCGTCTCGTCTGTGGGAAAGAGGTTGTAGGGTGGGAAATATTTCATCACCCACAAGGACGCAGAGACGATTTTTTTTAACTCTATCGAAGCTCGAAAGTGAACACCGAGCAGCTCCTGCCAAAATATGGAAACAGAACTCCATTTTCGGTTTGATCTAGCTCTTGTAAACGGAGAGGCTAGTAGGGCGATTCCCGTACATACTGAAACGGTACAGAGGCGGGGGGCGATCATTTTTTTCAGAATCTTTAACCATGGATCTTATGTACGAGTTCCACTTAATGTCTGAGTTGAATTCAAATCACAACAGTCGCTCAAGGAACGGGCCTTCCTGATGGAACTTCTAAACACCGCCATTGGTAGCATTACAAAATATATTTATACTCATCTAAGAAACATGCAATCATATTTGAATGGTTTTGACACACTGGTTACTACATAATATAGGATACTACTATATGTTATTAGTGTCAAGTTGCCCAGAATTCAATCAAACATATTTTTTACAGTTATGTTCACCCTATACAAATCCCGGAGCCACTCGAGGTAGAGGTTTACAGAGTAAGGGCTACAGTTTATGCAGATATATGGGGATGATAACGGCTGACCCTAGATTGGAACAGGTTAATATTGTAGTGATCGGGAAAGTATCTTCTTGGGAGCCGGTTCCACAAAGCAATATCGTAGGAAAAAGCCGCTTGAATGGAAGCTATATCTTACCAATACAATACGAAAGGAATGTGTGTAGCATGGCGAGTCTATAGGTTAGAACTTTTGGAACTAAGGAATGTAGTTCATCTGAGCACTTTCCATGGAAATAGCAATAGAGCATTGAGAGGCTTGCGACGTCTTGCCTGTGAGGAAAGGGGTTGTAGGGTGGAAAGTATCGAGTGTGGAATGTGAAGACTGGGCAGCTTCTGCTAATATATGGCAGCAGTATTTCATGTTCGGTCTGTTCTGGCTGTTTTAAAAGAAGGTAGCAGGAGGTGTCAGGTATTTGCTAGAGCGGCATAGAGAACAGACCAGATGGTCAAGGCACGGGGTCTACCTGAGGGAACATCCTTTCACTGCGATTGTTGAAAGTTCTGAGTCCGGTCGGCGATGGTGGAATATAAGTAAAATCAACAGATACGATTAAAGACCCAAAGACATTAAGGAAGACCATATCTCTCTCTCTCTCTCTCTCTCTCTCTCGCTTTCTCTTTATTTTTCTCTCTTCAGATCTAGATGATAACGGTTCTCCACAGCTTTCTATCTTTTGTAGCTCCGAGTAATATTTGCTTCTTTGCAATTCCTATTTTATCTTTATGGTACTTGTTTCTCGTTCAATTTTCCCAAACTTGTCAAGTTCTTGACACACAACGGAGTCGCAAGTTCTAACAGGTTTTGTTTGAGTTGCTAAAAGGGAGATTTTCGAATGCCAGGCACCATGCTCGGAATCATTCAGCCAAGGCATTCTCGACGTGTGACGGAAAGTGAGTTATGTAAGCACACCTGACCTCAAGTGAAACTCGTATATACAAGCCATCCCTAAAGATGCAGGTAAAATGACCGGATCCATATACTGCTCCAGTAAGTACCTGTTTTTTTTGGGTTTTTTTAAATGAATATCACCCCAAGCATGGCGAGAGTGCCACTAGCACGCAAGGGGTTACAGAAAGTGAGAACAGGAGTAAAGAGGAAAGGGTATAGAGAAGAACGGGGATCAGGATCAAGGCATTAGAAGATGTCGATTGACATTACATTTGAATACTTGAAGATTATAGATATCAAGGAAACAAATAAGAGGAAGGGAGTTCCACTGACGGGAAGTGCGAGATAAGAAGCTGTTGGAGTAGAAGAGACGGATACATTTAACCGTTTCGACAGTGAAAAGGTTGAACCGAGATATCAACTGGGATGAACTACACTCGTTCATTCCAGCAGATAAAGAAAGACAGAACAGGAAAAGAAAATAGAGAAGAGACGATAGATAGATAGATAGATAGATAGATAGATAGATAGATAGATAGATAGAAAGAAAGAAAGAAACTATATTTAGATAGATAGATAGATAGAAACGATAGATAGATAAATTGAAAGAAACTATAGATAGATAGATAGATAGATAGATAGAAAGAAACTATATTTAGATAGATAGATAGATAGATAGATAGATAGAAAGAAAGAAACGATAGATAGATAGATAGATAGATAGATAGATAGATAGAAACTATATTTAGATAGATAGATAGATAGATAGATAGATAGATAGATAGATAGATATAGTCGCCATGTCATGCTTAAATTAGTGCAGTTTGGGAACCAGTAGCTCGTCAGAGAAGTTGCCATGAAAAGACAGTTGCCTATAGAAAAGACAGAGGGAAGCCACAGCACGTCTGTGAGAGAGTGACTATAGACAAGATGCCAGATTAGGACCTATTACATTGCATATCTGTCTCTGGATTTTGTCGAGGACCTCGAGATGAACATCGGGGGCGCCAGACCATATATGGCAGCATTATTCAATGCAAGGCCGAATGGTTGATTTGTAGAGTTGAAGGATGGGCTCAGGCAAGTTGACTCCTTTTACTATACTCTACCTTTACAAGAGCCAGATAAGACCAAGGATGAACTGCACAGAACGCACTTTTTAGCCTCGATACAGTCCAAAAGCGACTCCGAGCACTTGTGGGTGACAAATTATTTTCCACTCTCACACCTCTCTCTCTCTCTCTCTCTATCTTTCTCTCTCTCTCTCTTTCTCTCTCTCTCTCTCTCTCTCACACAGATGGGATGTGGAAAGAATCCCCTGCTCTGTCGCTAATTTCACGGAAAGTGTTCGAACGAACTACATTTTCTGGTTTCGCCAGATGTAACCTTCACGGTTACGACACGCCATATCATTTATATAGTAGCAAACCACAAGAATTTCCTCTGTAATCCATCGGAAAGAAGTAAGTTCCGCTTGAATAGTTTCTTTCCGCGAACCATTGCTCTATGGTAGCGACTCCCAAGAGGATGTTTCCCGGATAATTACAATCTTAACCTGTTCAAGTCTAGGGTTAACCGTTGTCTTCCTCTCCTATTCGTACAAAGCGCCTCCTAGTGTAAATCTCTACCTCGAATGGTCCTCGGTGAACCTTGCTATAAAAATGAAAAAGAAAAGCAAATCGGTATTTTACTTTTATTGCTTGCCCTATATTTGCACGGAAGCTAAGGCTCCATATATATCATTGTTCGACGTGGCGAGACTTGTAGGTCATTCTCATTTGAAAGATTCACGGATGACACTCTGTCCCCATTTAGGCTTCTTTTATATTCGTGTGAAGACAGTATCGGAAAATGAAAGAAACGGAAACGCAAAAATGGAGAAAGAGAAGAAAAGAGACAACGAGAAAGACATGAAAACGATAATCAGAACGCGGTCGATTATGAATGTAACACAAGAATGAGATTTGGATGGGGAAGATCAAGATGGAGACAGTGTACGGATGCACACATGTGATATAAAAAGGTGAAAATGACTTGTAAATATATATAGAGAGAGAGATAGAGAGAGGGTGGGAGATTGAGAGAAAGAAAGGAGGCGGGAAATATAAAGAGAGGGGAAATGACGTTGAACCGGAAGAAACAAATCAGGACAACAAAGGAATCAAAAGCTAAGTGGAGAGAAAAAAAGTAAGAAAAGTCACAATGTTTTCAATGACAAACGTCCGTATTACTTCCGGCGTAGACTTTTATTACAAAGCTTTCAGAACGCCTGCCATTGATTCATTCTTCTGGAAGGCGGCATTTCTGATAGGTATCGATTTGCTTCTTTTTTTCTTATCAAGCTCAATTTTTTCCCCATTTATTTGATTTTGTACATTTTTTTCCAAGTGTTTTTGTTAATGCCCACAATTGTGGTATTTTATTATTTATGTTTGTTTTATTTATGTGTTTATCCATATGGACAAAAACTTCACTGTTATTCTAAACACAGTAAGAATTTAAATTTTTTGACAGTATGGATAAACTCGTAAATATGAGGAATTATATATATATATATATATATATATTATAAATTAATTGATTTAAAACGTTTTTTTTTCTACACAGTTTTAACCATGTTTCAAAAATGGAAGCTAAAAGCTTGGAATTTAATTTTAAAACAAAATTAAATTCGGAGCTTTTAGCTTCCATTTTTGAAACATGGTTAGAACTGAAAAGAAAAAAAAATACCATATTTTAAATCAATTAATTTATAATATTAATGCTCTGTAAATTTATATTGAGCACTATTTTGGAAAAATAAAAATATCTATAAGAACACCGGATTATATATCTTACTGTTCTTTTTCTTTCTTTATATATATATATATATATATATATATATATATATATATATATATATATATTCCAGTTACACCTAATAGGTAGTAATTCTCGGGAGATGGATTTATTACTGAACAATCGAGAACTGTTTACATCATTTAGAAATTTTACATTACAGGGTACCCCACAAAAAGACAGGAAATTTGGTATAGATTTTTAACAGATCACGACAGCCATTCGGGTGGTGGGGATGTGATTAAATATACTTTAATGTTCAAAAAAAATATTAAGAATTATTATTGTTTACGTAATAGACATGATAACATAACACAAATAGCTATATTGTGGAAAAAGAAATTTTCGACAATATTCCCATTTTTTTACGTATTTATGATTATTTTTTTTAACTTTTATCAAAAACGATATTCTTGTACATGTTAGAAGTTAGGGCTAGGGTTTAGGATTAGGGGTTAGTATTAAAGGCAGTGAACAGTGAACTGTTATGTATTAATATATCGCTACAGATATTAGGGAGATTTGATTAAATATACTTTAGTGTTTAAAAAATATTCAGTATTATTATTGTTTAGGTCATAAGCAAATTACACAGCATAAATAGGAATTTTCCACAATATACGAATTCTTTACGCATTAATGTTTA